AGATGCTGCTGTGTGGTGAAGGTCATTTCAGCATTCATTTGGAAAATGTAGGAGGTGAAATCCTGGACTGAGAGTTGCTGAGCCCTGGTCTCTAAGGAGCTTGTGGTTTCCATGTGAAAGCTTCAGCTTTTTCTTACTCTTTTATCCCAGATACATTATTTCTTCTCCTGTGTGTTTGCTGATATTTTATTGCTTTAAGGAAATAGTTTTGTGCCTACGTTTTAGGTAAACCATTGTGTGATAACTATATAAAACCATAAAATATTAACAAATAAAATTAAAAAGAGAGAGAAATGTTAGGTTGTTTTATATGACTACTTTATTGCACTTTGATTACAGCTTCACAGAAATGTAATTCCACTGGCTTCTGTAGCATTGCTCTTAAATTAGGCCAACGGAAAGCGAGCCTGGTATATTTATATATATTGTCCAGTTAAGTTGTCAAAGCTGTACACTGTAAAACTATTACAAGGTATTAATATACACTGGTTTGGTGTCAAAAACCCAATGTTGATTTTTATCGCTGTTGTTGCCTATCATCACCTTTTCACACAGGTGAACTGCACACTTTCCTAAATTGAATGACTTAGCACTTCTGCAGTGCTTTACAGATCTGAAATACTGTGTGGATATTAATTAAGGCACAGAGCAGCCCAGTGAGGAAGGTAGATAAGTAAGTATTATTATCCCTATTTTACAGATGGGGAAGCTGAGGCACAGAGATTAAGTGACTTTCCCAAGGCCACACAGCGAGTCAGTGGCAGAGCCACAGTTAGCGCTCGGGGACTTCCTGGATCCCTCTCCCATGCTTTAAGCAGTAGACCACAGTGTTCACTGGACTCAGCAAGCAACTCATTGCAATAATGGACAATTCCAAGGACTCGTACCTGGTCAGTGTGTCCACACGTTTGTTTACAGACTGCTGCAGTATGTCAATATCAGCTCAGTCCTAGCAGATTTGTGCATTATGTAAAATTTCTGGCCTTCACCTTCAAATGGGGTGAAAGGAAGAAGTAGCAGAATTCTGACATGAACATGGCATGGCTGTGAAGAACATTTAGGTTTCATGCTTTATTCTGATC